TCAAATTACAATGAATTATATTTAACACTGTAATCGTGTTTCTAACGCTTTGAGGTTTTTATTATATCAATTTAACATCGTTTCTCTTTCAATTCTATTCTATGAATTGTGTTTGCTTAATCTGCCATTTTGTGGAATGGTTTAATTTAATTCGTATGATTGTATTCCTAACTTTTAATCGCTTTTTACGTCGCTTAGTCGTTAAATCGTGTTTCTATATCGTGTTTGCTTAATTCGCGATTGTGTTTATCCGTTTGCTTAATTCAGAATATAGGAATGTTTGTCTGTATAATATCTTAGTGTGCTTGTCATTTGATATTGAAATCAAATAGAGATCGAAGCCAATTAAAAAATTGGTTAAGAAAAAAACCAATGATTAGCGGAAACCTAAACATTAGACCAGTTTATTTTTATAATCACTTACTTTAATCACTTATTTGCACTATTTTATAAATCGAAATTTAAAACTCCCATAAACATTTTCTTTAGTTGATTGAAATAATATAAGAATCTTTGAGATACGACTCGAATCATTGACGCTTTACTACTTTTCAAAAATACTCGTTTTAAACTCGTACGCGAGAGCGAATCATTAAGTGATACTACAATTCTATCAAAATAAAATTTAATTAATTTTCTAAAATTTAATTTATTTTTTAAACATGCTCTAGTAAAAATGGACACGGTTTTGAACACTCTGCCTTATGAAGGCTGCCCCTTGAGTTAACAGAAACTTTAAAATTAAAAGTGTTGCAAAAAGAACCCTTTAAAGCTTTGTTGGATTAGTGTGTCGTTTACATCCATTTTACATGTTTAAAAGCAACTTTCTTTCAAAGTAAAACTAAAATTGCTTCCAAGCTATAATAACTTCTTTTTTATACAACGAGCTAATAATAATGATGTAATCTCAAATATATATTCTGGCGACTGGCTGTTTATCATTCCAAACAGAACTTTCTAAGTAAGTTGTAGTTTTTTAATTGTTAATTCATAATATATAAAATTCAAATAGTTTGTTTAAAAAAGAACATTAAAAATGCTCTTAGGATAAATACTTATCAGAATTAAATGAAATCAATAAAGCTAAACTAAGTAACGACTAAAGTAAAAAATATTGAAAAAAAATAATAATAAAGCAGAAAATATAACCTTTTTTTAATCAAAAACTTGTTTTATCAAGTGAATCTGTTTTACTCCCATTGTCCATTTTGTAGCTAGGTTGTTTAAAATTTCACATCAAGTAAGAATAACAATAAATTTTTTAGATTTTTCAAATTTAAAAAAAGATTAATTTATAAGCTTGCCATTATAATTGTTTTACGCATACATATAATAAAAATACTTATTATGAAACATTTCTTTAATAATGTATGAATTTTGTAAAATTTTCTTATAGATATTTTTTTAGAATAATATAAGTATAGATAATAGTTCTATATTGGATAGAAATGAGGTGACTTGAATATTTATAAGTGGAAGAACCCATACACCTATCACCTTAAGGTTTTGGTGAATATGTGGTGTCTATTTCACTTGTGTTGCTCTTGACCCAATGTTCAATGTTCCCTAGTGTAAAACTTCTCTAACATGGTATCACGAGTCTTTGGTTAGTAAAGGGACCGACTTATATGTATCAAAATGTCCAGGAAGTGGTGTCCCGTTGAAAAGAGGTGTATTCGAAATACCTAATAAGAGGTGCATAGTAATAGGAGTCAACGACGGTACAAATATATGTGGACAAAAGAGTTTTCACATGAGGGGGAACGTTGTGGACTCATACTTGAGGGGGAGTGTTGGAATAATATAACAAGTGTGAGTAGTATGAATAATAGTCCTACATTGGATATGAATGTGGTGACTTGAGCATTTATAAGTGGGAGAACCCATACACCTATCACCTTAAGGTTTTAGGTGAATATGTAGTGTCTTTCTCACTTGTGTTGCTCTTGACCCAATGTCCAATGCTCCTTAGTGTAAAACTCCTCAAACAATTTTGAATTCATTAGTTTTAAAACATTAGATTAATAAAATAGTAGTAAGATCGGGATTTTCTTAAGCTTGGTGGGATGACACTAAATATTGTTGGGGTTGTTCCCTATTGGGAGGCCAATGGTCGGGGTGAAATTCTTTGGAAGGATTGTTTGTAAATATAAAGATTTTATCGAGGGGTTGTCCATGAATAGAGCTTTCAGGACTTTTGAGTTAATGTATTTTCTTCTACAATTAAGAAATCCATAAAGTGAGTTTCTTCTACTTCTATCCTGCATGAGTATCGCTAGACTATTTGATAGCCTAAAGAGGAAACAACTATTTAGTTTGATAAAAAGTTGCAAGGGATAGTAGGGGTTGTCCCCTTTAGACATTGGGAGGTCAATGTTGGAGTAAAATTGTTTGGAGAGGCTCTCAGTCAAGATAAATGTTCTATCGAGGGACTGTCCATAAAGAGAGATTTCAGGATTGTTGAGTTAATGCATTTTCTTTCACAGTTATACAATCCATATAATGAGTTTCTTCTACTTCGGACATGCATGGGCATCTCTAAACTATTTGGTGCCCTAGACACGTTTAAATTAATTAAAGAAATAACTATTTGGTTTAATAAAGAGTTGTGAGGGACAATCGAAGATTGGTTGGTAGATGTTCTTTCTTCGGGGACTTCCAATAGAGAGTGACCTTTTTACCTATTAGGTTTGAGGGGTTGGGTTTAAACTTAATTGGAGAGGTTGTCTTGTATGCATTTGTGGCTTTCAAGGTCAATCTCGAGTATTACAAAATCATATATTGAGAGACAATGCGATATGTGATATTGATTCTAATTTTGACAAATCTTTAGATGATCTTAGTGGTACAATTTCAGATTTTGACCTTAGTAGTTTTATTATTAAGGACATTATCTCTACTAAAAACCCAATATATTTTGATGAGTTCCCCTTTTATTAAAAGTGTTCAGAACATGGAAGTAAAACTTTACATAATCACGAGAAAGAAAATAATTTTTGGATGTTTTCAAATAACATGTGCTCATGATTTTCTTCTAACTATTCTTATTGGAGGGATGGGCCCATACATGTCACCAGTAGAGTACCACGCTATCTTTAGATATCACATCATAATTCCATTATTTCATATTGATGAGATTTATCATGTTTTTTTTGTAAGGCGTGTCTTGATAGCTTTGAAGAAAAGACAATCCATTGTAAGCAACTTTCAAGTTTCAAATATCAACATGACTTTGTTAGGATGTCTTTGTTGATATATTAGTTGCACGCAAGTATCTATGAATAAAACGATTCCTATGAACTTCTTGACCGACCCATGAGAGGGAAAATTGACACTTAAGCCAACAAATATTCTTGTGTATGAGTGGATATGAGGGAAACATCCATGAGTGTACCTGACTGAGGTTTCCCTTTTTGCGGAATTGATGACCGTAAGCTTTATTGTGAAACAGGAAAACCCTCAAAACTGCTTTAAGTAAAGTTGTCAAACATGAAAAAACTGTTGAGAATAATAAAGTCAAATGTGAGTTGGAGTCCCACATTAATTATAAATGTGAATAGTTGATCATTTATAAGTGAGAAAACTCATACACCTATCACCTTAATATTTTGGGTGAATATGTGGTGTCTCTCTCACTTGTGTTGCTCTTGACTCAATATTGATGCTCATCCTCGTATCAGAGTCTGATTCGAGTAAAGGGACCATCTTACATGTATCGAAATGTTCTAAGAGGTGCCTATAGGTGTGGACGGCGATACAAGTGTATGTGAACAAAAGAGGGAGTGTTGAGAATAATAAAGTCAAGTGTGAGTTGGAGTCCCACATTGATTATAAATGTGGATAATTGAACATTTATAAGTGAAAGAACTCATGCACCTATCACCTTAAAGTTTTGTGTGATATGTGGTGTCTCTCTCACTTGTGTTGCTCTTGACTCAATGTTGATTCTCCATCTCATACCCCAACAAAAACATATTGTCACAACTAATATATTTTTATATCATTTGCGTCGGACACTTTTGACTTCCTAACACCAAAGGTGTCAAAATCTTTTACAAATAAATAAAAACTTCATGTAATATCTTCTGAATTCAAAGACATAGTTTTTAAAATAATTGGTTGTCATTAAAAAAATTGTCGGTGCAACTTAGTACATGTTTTCCATTCATTTCTGTAAAATATTTAAACATCTATGTAAATACATTAGTTAAAAATAAAAAATAAAAATAAAAATAAAACTTCAAATAAACTTTTTCATGTATGATGTATCCCTCTTATATTAAAACATGTGGTTAAAGGTCAATTTCTTGAAAAATATCAAAATCACATTCCAGCTGTCTCCTGCTTGCAATTTGGCTATCTGCTATTTTTAACCGTTGTTATTTTAGGAAAAGTTTGTCTATAGCATACATCAACTATTTTTGTCAATTATAACTTCATATTTTCAATTATTTTACATTTATATCAATAAAAGGGAGAGTAAAATATTGCGTTAACCAATATAAAACAAGAGTATATTTTAAACTTGTAACCAAAACTAGTTGCATGTTTAAACTAACAAAACACATAAAATATCCAATAGCATTTGGAGTATATGACAAAGATTTTTTTCAGTTTAATAACATCCTCAAAGTTAAAATTCAATCTAAAAAATACAACAGTGTGATATTGGAGTTATTATATTAGGTTATATTCTTATTATATATATATATATATAAATAAAAAGTGAGATTATTTGAGAAGCAATGAAGTCTGAAGCAGGAACATTTTCCTAACATTTCACCTACCATTCATAAATTCAGGTACAATAGGGACACCCTATATAACTGGCCCACACTTCTACGGCACAACCTAGTACTAAAATCTTAACTTTCATTAAAGGATTGTTCCTTTCATTGGTTTGGTGAGAGCCAACCCATAGCCAGTTATACAAAATCACAACTCTATATAACATACCACTTCTTCACCTTTTCTTTCATTCCAAACTCTCAGAAACCAAAATGAAACCATTCCTTATGTGCCTTCTCCTCACTTCTTCATTATTAGAACTTTCATTGGCTGGTTCTGGTAATTAATTAACTCTCATTTATTCTTTACATGCTACTTGGTTGATTTTCTTTATTATGTTTATAATGAAATATTGTGAATTTTTTTAGATTTTTGTGACACAAAGTGTGGAGAAAGGTGCTCGAAAGCTTCGGTGCAGGATCGATGCCTGAAGTATTGTGGGATCTGTTGTGAAAAATGTAATTGTGTTCCATCTGGGACTTATGGTAACAAAGACGAGTGTCCTTGTTACAGAGACATGAAGAACTCAAAGGGACAAGGAAAATGCCCTTAATTTGTTCACATTCATGTTTCATATACTTTCTACTACACAAAACTTGCTTATGTATCTTTGAGGTTAATTATGTCATGTCTTATATATTGTGTATCATTTATTGTATGTTTTTGTGTAAGTGAATTTTATCATGTTATGTGAATGTTAGCATGTGAGGATTATAATAAGCTCATAACTGTGTATATATATCCCGTTAAAATAGAGCATATCCCGTTAAAACAATTTAGTTGATAGCTGTGTATATATATCAGATCGGATTCGAATCATCGACATCCTATTTATTCATCTTTATTAAAATGAACTCCAACAATTAGGTTACTAAAGCCACTAAATTACTTATAATAAAAAAAAGTACATGAAAGGTTATTCAAACAACATTGCTTATCAAACATCTGTAGCTTTATATCTGGCAGGTTATTCAAGTTATTTAAACCAGAACAAATTGGGATAATTGTTTATATATTGAAGACTCTACTCACATGAATAAATGATATGAATTTAAAAATATTAGAGGATATCCAGTGTTGGTCTATAATCTTGTAGAATCTAGTATGCATAACAAACAAACATGTTATTTGATGTTAATTAGTCAATGTTAGGGATGATATGGATTCAAAAGTTTCCAGCATCATGAGACATTGGCATTACCTGAGAATAGTGCAAAAAGGTTGACCTTTTGACTAACTATAGTAGAAGTCAACCCATGTATTTGGTAATTATTTTACTTTTGTTACTAGTAGAAGACTCGTGCGTCCGCACGGGTATAAGAAAAAATATAATCTTATCGAATTTAAATTTCACAAAAAAAAAAAAATACTCAAATGTATATTAAGAATAATATTTATGCATGTTTTTATTTGTTTGAATCTAACTGATTGTATCTGTGTAACTTTATGAAGTAGTTCAATAACATTTTAAACATTATAGTGAAAAAATTGAAATACATAATCAAGATTTTAGACTTTTTTTTTATTTTTAGAGTAATATTTATACATGATTCATTTTTTAGAGCAATAGAGTAACATACAATTTTATGGTAAGTTTGTATGGAATAAAAAGATCAAATACATCAAATTTTGAGTTATTTGACAATATTAGCAAACCCCATATGATGAATATTAGCAAATACATCAAAGATATAAGCTTAAAAAAACAATAGTAGCCTTTGTTTATTATGAATCTATATCAGATTCAATTTGTATATACATGACAGTGTCTTAGACATATATTGAACTAATATTGAATTTTGAGGATGTTAGTTATTACTCAAAATTTTCAAAACCTTCATCAGAAAAGCCCAAGAATTCACTGTTAGGATGATCCATGCACTATATATTTTTATATCTTCCAGATAGGGCTGGAAATGAGTCGAGTCGAGTCGAACTCACCTCAGCTCGGCTCGACTCATTAAGAATTGTTCGAATTCGAGTTCGAGTTCGAGTTTGACACGAACTTTTTTTTAAGCTCAAACTCGACTCGTTATAAGTTCACGAACAGTTCGGTTCGACTCGTTAGGTTCATCTCATTAGGTTCATCTCACATGGTTCACGAACTTAAAAACTATTTTTTTAAATATATATAATTTTTGGTATATTTTACATTTTAAATAAATATATATTTTTTAAATAAAATATTAAAATAAAATAAAAGTTATCATATTGAAATTTAACTTTATCTTTGAAATCTACTAATTCAAAACCTACACAACTTTCAAGAGACACATTTGAGAGTCTAATTCAAAACTACTAAATTGAAGATTAAATTTGTCTAAGATTTGAAGTAAATATTTAAACCTAATCTTAAAGATAGTATAATTCTTTTCATATGTAACCGAGTTGACTCATGAACCTAACGAGTCGAACTATGTATAGTTCAAGTTCAGCTCATTTAGTTAACGAACTTAATTTTTCGCTCATACTCAACTCATTTGGTTCATGAACCTAGTTCATCGATTTAATTGTCGAGTCGAATTCCGAACTATCTTCGAGTTGGTTTGGTTCATTGCCAGCCCTACTTCCAGACAATGATATATTTAACAAATATTGTATATTTAATAAATATTGTTAATGATCCATAATAAAAAAAATACAAATAAAGAAAAATATAACAAATGTTGATATGATATTAAATTATTTAGACATAGATAGTAAATTTAAAATAAATTACTTAATTGTAAAATGATTAATTGTCATATAAAATCAATTGTATTAAATAAACATTTGAAAAGATAAAAATAAGACATGTCTAATGAAGAAAAAAAAACAAAAAATTGATATTTAAAAATAAATATTTTATATGTCAAATAAGTGTAATTGTTAATTAAAATACCATATATAAATGTCAAATTTAGCTTGAAATTTATTTGATAGCTAGCACGAATAAATTTATTTGATCTTGTATAAATTGTATTTAAATGAGCATGTAAATTTTAAATAACTATTTAATTATAAAATAAAAGTTGATCAAATAAATTTAAGTGTATTGAATAACAATATAAAAAATAACATGTGAAAAGGAGAAATAAAAATAAAAGTTAATTTTTTACATTTAAAACTAAAAAATTTATCTCTCAAATAAAAACAGATATTAATAAATAAATAAAAGTTATATAATGATAGTGACTTGTGCAATAAAAAAATTTATTATCATATATTTATGTTTATCTTAGCCATCATGATGTTGTTTATTTATAGTATTTTTGAATATTCACAAAATAAATTTTCTAAAATTTACTTTCCTTTAAGATTTGAAAAAGTAATATTTAAAAAAAATGGTTTCTTAAAGAATTTTGTAACTTAACATTACATATGAGTCATTTTTTGAGAGTGCAATGCAAGGGACTGCTTCTTCAAGGTTGACACCCGCAATATCATTAGTCATAAGAAGACCACTGTTGGGTTGCCAACGTTGTGGAACAACACTGGCGGCAGTTGCCTGTAATCACGAGAACTTCAGACTTATGCTCTCTATTGAAAGGTAAAAGGCTAAAAAATAGTATAAAGAAAGAAAAAAAAAGGATTGAACCAAGAAATACATAAAGTAATTTATTTGCTTAAGATAACCTTCCCATTAGGATTTTGTTCATTGCGAGCCCATTTCCAAAGCTTCTGAACGCCATTAGAACCAAGGGCCAAAACACCAACAGCATAATTTGTATATAAAAGTCGTACAACCTATATACCAATCAGTACATTAAATTAAAGCATAGAAGAATACAAAATTTGCAATAGACTGATGGTGATCTCATAAATGAGAATAAAGTAGCACAACCTATTCGAGCTATAAAGCTTTCAGTGTCCCCTGTGGTAAGTGTAGCAATTACATGCAAGGTTTCATCAGATCTTCCCAAGCTTGTCCAAGGCTTTAAACAGTTATCAAAGTCAGAGTTTGCAGGATGATTTCAAAGACCGGTGAACATATCATAGTTGTGATTGGTGAGTTGCACCGTGAAATCTGCTTGAAGGATTTGCAGGATGATTTTACGAATGGAGCTGAGATTTAAAAATTTGATCCTATTGTCTCTTTCAGCAAGGCTCTGCTTGACAAGTCTAGCTATACTGTGACGAGCAAGTCACCAAACAAACAAAACCGTATATACACGGAAGCAAGGCCAATGGTGGAAGGGCTTGCAGAGGCCATTGGTGACGGAAAGATTGGACCAAGGCATGACTCCAAAAACCATTCGAAAAGTACTGTATAATGAGTTTGGTTGGGATAAGGAACTTGCCAAAAAAAATTCATATTTCTATTTACAACAAATGTAGTAAGTCAACAATAGACAGATGTTGGAGATCTTATTGCATAAATATTCTGTTGAAGGCAACTCTGACATATGGTGCTAAATAATCAACCATCTATAGGATCAATCAAACTAACTAATCTATGAAATCTTCTAAAGAATACAGAAAATCAAAATCTTGATATAACCTGCAATTTCAAATGCCAAATTTAGGTTAACAGGAATAACACTTTAAACGAAAATTGCATATAAAAAAAGGTGACAATAGGGTTAACTATGAAAAGATATAAAGCAAAATAGTATGAACTTGCCTCAGTTATTAGTGGCTTTGCATGTTCTTCCTATTCAGTAACCCACCTTGATGAAGAACCAGTATCTAGTGCACCTGATTTGAGATCCTTCAAAGAATCGCACGCAACGGGAAATCCCTTGAAGAGTGTCTATGCAGATATAGCCAGTAAACAAATTAGTATGCTCATGATTTAGCTATAAACATCGTCCATGTTATGAATCAATAGTTTAAAGAAGAGTTATGTATCACAAGGATGCAAAAACTGAATGCACACAAATGGCTAAGATTTAGCTTAAATAGATTGTGTATCTAACTAATACTGTACATGCAATCATAAACAAACTTACCAAAAGTTCATCATCTAGCTCTGAAGATGAAGAGAAGAGAAGATAATTTTTGTCAATGCTAACCAGCTCTTTAATGCTTCAAAAAAGTAAAAGACTTGACTGATAAACGGAACAATCACAAAGTGTAAACATCAATTTTCGAAGGAAGTACTTAGCTTACCAAGAGTATGAAGCTGCACAAACAGGCAGCCCACAACCAAACATATCAACAACCTGATACCAATAAAGAAGAAAATTTAGAAATGTACCGAATGAGTATGCGGTTCAATGAAATAACTATTTATGACATGAAATGAAGAAAAGTCGGTAATATCACATCACATATTTGTTTATCCAATGATATATGACAAAGGGTACCTTCATGGGAAGGTTTAATCCTGATGATGAAGTATGCAGACAAACACCTAGATCAGCTGATCCGGTTAATCCTGATGATGAAGTATGCAGACAAACACCTAGATCAGCTGGTCCTGAAATTACTCAAAGAAAGAAAAAAAGAAAGAAATTTTTTAGATGTGACTGAAAGCGAATCATTTACTGCGGAGAGGGATGAATTGCAAATACAAACAAACCATCCAGATTTTCAGAATCCAATTAGCAGCAACAAAGTTTATTTTACCTT